ATTGTGTTTAGGTTTCACACATATACGTTACACTTCTGGATGGTGGCAGGATTGTCCCTTGGTTTCGGTAGCTTTTAACCAAGTAGTGTGTCCGTTTCGGGATATCCGCAGCAGTCTATAGTCAGGTCCATTGGGTGGAGTGTTGTTGTGGCCGTTTTCAAGACGGGTGTTGTGCAGGAGGGGGATTCCTTGTGAGCGTGTTGGTTGATGGTAAGTAGAAAGGTGTCTATTGGTCGGTTCGTGTGGCAAGGGTAACTCTGGTGCAGGAGGCAATCATAGAGGGAGGTATTGTCTCTCAGTGTCGCAGTTTCTCTCCATCCGGGGGGTGAGACATCTCCGGTGTGACTCTCTTCTCTTGTCTGGAGGTTGGCTTCTGGTGGACATAGAAGGCTGGGGAGGACGCTAAGTTGGGAGGATGGTTGGACCTTGGCTGTTGGTGTCTGTCGGCCGCCAGTTTACTCCCCGGTGGTATACCAGTCTCTTGGTAGAGGTTGTAGGGCCGGTAGAGCGGTAGTTGGCAGCGTGAAGTTTTCTGGCAGGGTGACGCCCAGTGCGCGGAAGAAGGGCGCTGGGTCTGTGCCTGGAGTGAGGATGTGAGGTCTGCCGTGTCTGAAGATCATTAATTTAAAGAGGTGTCCCCAGGCATACCTTATTGCGCTGGTCCTGAGCAGCTCAGTAACTGGCTTCCACTCTCTTCTGCATTGGAGGGTGATGGGAGCCAAGTCTTGGAATAGGGTAATTTCTTTATCATGGTATTTTATGGGGCTTTCTCTGGCCTTCCTTAGCACTGCTTCCTTTGTCTGGAAGTGGAGAAATCGGACTATTATGTCTCTGGGTCTCGTGTTGTCGTCTCTCCAGGTGCGCAGGGCCCAATGTGCCCTATCGATGTGCCATTGCTCATCCGGTATCTCTGGCAAGAGAGGCCGCAGGAGTGTTATGACCATGGTCGCAATTGTGCCTTCATCCTATTGCTCAGGTAGGCCGCGCACGCGTATGTTGTTGCGGCTCGACCTATTTGCCAGGTCTTCAAGCGCTGCCTCTAATGCTCTAGTTGAGCGGTAAGTGTATTAACATGGGCGGCCACTGTGTTGTGGGCCACTGTAGTAGTTTCTACACGTTGCTCCAGTTCCGCGGTACGCTCACCCAGCTTGTGGATTTCCGACATTACCGCCTTGGAGCTTCTGTCTATCTCTCGGTCTAGGTAGCTTTTCACCGCTGCCAGCTCCGTGAGTATGTGGGCTGTTTTGGATGTGGCTGAGCTGTAAGGCTGAGGTGAGCTCGAGGTTGCTGGTGAGCCTGGGGCTCGCAGGCTGGATCTGCCGCCATCTTGGGTGTCTTGACGAGGCGTGCGGGAGGCCGCAAAGAGTTCAGGTACCTTGGTGGCCGCGTTCGTTTGTTTTTTGGCCAGTTTCCTTGGTAAGCGCTTGTCCATGGTTGTTCAGGAGTCGCGATCAGTGGGTTTTTCGTGGGTAGATAGCTTTTGTGAGCGTTTGGTATAGGGGGTCAGCGAGGAGCTCTATGTTTGCATGTCCTGCTTGGTTCCCGGTCAAGCCACGCCCCCCTTGCCAGTGACATTTGTAAGTCTTTAGCTGACACTCTAGGATTCTTCTTCACCTCATTGCGCTGTGCAGTCATCTTTACAGGACGGCCACTCCTAGGGAGAGTAGCAGCAGTGCTGAACTTTCTCCATTTATAGACAATTTGTCTTACCATGGACTTATGAACAGCAAGGCTTTTGGAGATACTTTTATAACCCTTTCCAGCTTTATGCAAGTCAACAATTCTTAATCGTAGGTCTTCTGAGAGCTCTTTTGTGCGAGGCATCATTCACATCAGGCAATGCTTCTTGTGAAAAGCAAACCCAGAACTGGTGTGTGTTTTTTATAGGGCAGCTGTAACCAACACCTCCAATCTCATCTCATTGATTGGACTCCAGTTGGCTGACATCTCACTCCAATTAGCTCTTGGAGATGTCATTAGTCTAGGGGTTCACATACTTTTTCCACCTGCACTGTGAATGTTTACATGGTGTGTTCAATAAAAACATGGCAACATTTCATTCTTTGTGTGTTATTAGTTTAAGCAGACTGTGATTGTCTATTGTTGTGACTTAGATGACGATCAGATCACATTTTATGACCAATTTGTGCAGAAATACATATCATTCCAAAGGGTTCACATACTTTTTCTTGCAACTGTACTTGTGTGTAATATTTGTTTTTGAATGTGTGTGTGTTTTTATGTAGTGTTAGCATTTGAATGCAGGGGTGTATTGGTATATAATGTTGTTGTTTTAATACAGGGGTGTATTCACATATAATGTTTGCGTTTGAATGCATCAGTGTATTTTTGTGTAGTGTTGATGTTTGAATGCTGGGATGTATGCACAAATACACATCAACTGCCACACACACACTTACTTACCAACACACACACACACACACACACATACTGTTGCAGGAGAAAGCCGCAGAAGCCACACACACAGAAATGGAAGCAGGCTCGTTCAGGAAGAAAAAGGTCTTTATTGTTACTGATCAGATCTCAGATGAACTCCTGTTCCAAAAATATCTGAGAGACAGAAAGCATGGTGCAGAGGCCTTTTGTTAGCAGCATATCCCCTCCCATACAGTATAACCCCTCCTATATTCCTCAGACCAATCAGCACACAGGATATTCAGGATCACCTAATATCCACATGGCTTGTTAAAGACAAAGGAATTTACTTTCCACTTCCGTACATGCTCAGTACACTGATGACTCATCCAACTGTTTGTAACCAGATACTAATTAGCATATGCCATGTGGAGATTTCGGCCTACTAAATTTTGACCATGCTGGAATCCCAACACATTCCCCCCTTTGATGCCTCTGATAAAACATTATACCAGATGCATCACTAATCATAATCTACCAACACCACTTGTAACGGTTCCCCCGGTATTCGAGGGGTTACAGCCATAGGAGACGTTCCCTTGCCAAATACAGAGGTAGCTACGGAGTGCTCCAAAGCACCGAACAGTAGCCGTACGGATGAGGCAGTTTCCCAAGTTACCGAACAGCAGATATACGAACACACTATTTCTCCCAAACAGTTGAACAGCCACCGGGTGAATCAAATATTCCTCCAAACAGCTGAACACGCATACTCCATACGAATAATCCCCCCCCAAAGACGAGACACAGCTCCGTATTGAGGGTCAGCAGGAATCTGTTTAATGAGGGCTACATGCCCGGCTTTTATGCAAGTCTCCCACCTGATGGACACTCCCCTAGGGGACCAAATGGGGGACTGCGACAAGGACATTGTAACAACCAATCACAGAAGACACAATAAGCCATTCCCCTTTTCTTGCCCAGAACCCTCTGCTCTGCCTGGGGAGATAATTGTGAAGTAATTCAATTATCTCCCGGGACAGAGTCTAAACACCATTTTGAGTGATAATACAAAAATACATAAAAATACATAACTGTTACATTTTACAAGATATTACAGGCATTCAACAGGTCCCCAGATAGCTAGGATCTGAGCGCACCAAAGTACCGAATAGCGCTCAGATCCTATACACACAGTCCAATCGCAGTGCCAAAGTGTTCACACAGCCAGTTTTCATACGAATGGGCTCCACGGGATTCCTATCTGGGGTACGGTGTATTCCGTTAAAATCTACCGAATATAGGGTCATTCGTGCCAATCTACCGAACAAGAAGGGAGGTCGGCGGCTTCAGCGGTGTTCGGGCCAAAATGTGTCCCTTTTCAGTTCCATGAGTTAGGCGTCGAACACCGCTGTGCGTTCGTGTGTTTTAAAATGTCCGCGACCTCGTGTTCGGCATACGAATTGCAGCCACCCAACTGCTGTATCAATTGAGAGGTGTCTGCGGTTAATCCTCAACGTTCGAATGGAGCCAAGAGGTTAATCAGCAGCACACTCCTCTACTGGGTGGCCAGCCGTTCGGTAGTTTTGTTCGGTCATAAACAGGGGAATGCCATAGACTCCACAGGAACGAGGAAAAGACGAATTAAATAAACGAACAAGCCATATGGTTAGTTCAGTCTAAGACAGAGGGATCTGTCACACCACTCAAGTAACCATGAACCAGTACAGACCTTGTAATCATTCTAACTTAACTTCGTGCTCTCTCAACATTCCTCATCCTGATTATTCTCTCTCTGGGCTAGGGGTTCATACTTCCAGACAGCCATTACATGGGTAGCTGTCTTTCTTTCTATAGTGCTCTCTATAACACTACGTATACACCTGACCACTAGTGGGATTAGACAGGAGGCATAAGAATATAATAAATAATACTCCTCCTACCAATGCTTTAATCCCACCAAACTGCTCATACCAACTCCTGAACCAACTACTCAGATTATACCCGTTCCAGATCTATGTAGGTATATGCGTCAGTTTAACCATGTGACTGGCAAGATCAACCACTGCCTGCCCCTCATCATCTATGTGCAGACAACAGTTACGAAGGTTAAATTTCCCGCACACACCTTCTACTGCTAGTAAGTAATCAAGAGCTAGCCTATTCTGGTATATGGCTGATCGCATCCGGGTATTCTGCTTTGCTAAGAGGTTGAGTGCTTGCGCTGTCTCATTGGTAATAATTTCAACCAACGCCTGTAATCTTATAATGCGGTTGAGCATATATATTGGGGTTCTATAACCATATGTGCCATCTTCTGCCCAGGTAGCAGGTCCATAATAATAAATAATACGCTAGGGAGACCACTTATCATCTTCCCAGCTACCTACATTCAATGAAGCTCGTTTCTTTCTATGATTCACATCATAAACCTTGACTCCCTTTACATTCATATTGTGAGTGCCAAAGTAGGGTCTGGGATATCTGGTTACCTGTTTTTGTAGTCTTAATACAACTAACACAGCTTGGAATATCCTCACTAGTGATGTCGCGAACCGTTCGCGAACTTCCCGCGAAAAGCTCGCCACGGTTCGCCACGAACCATTCGCGGCGAGCTCCGGTCAGCTGACACATCCCGGCCAATCTGCAGCAGACCCTCCCTCCCAGACCCTCCCACCTCCTGGACAGCATCCATGTTGAAGCTGCCTTCAACATGGATGCTGTCCAGGAGGTGGGAGGGTCTGGGAGGGAGGATCTGCTGGAGATTGGCCGGGATGTGTCAGCTGACCGGAGCTCGCCGTGAACCGTGGCGAGCCGTTCGCGGGAAGTTCGCGAACGGTTCGCGACATCACTAATCCTTACCTTTATCTTCCAGAAAAATTATAAAAATACTGAAACATATAACTAAACACATCATTCTTGTGGTCTTCATCCTACTCTTCGACCGTGCGACGGCACCTCAGCTTCCCGCTTGTGAGGGCTGCAAGGATTGTTGTCCTTCTGATCCTCACTTACTTTTACAGAGGTCCCTCTGAGATGCTCTGGCTATGACACGTAGGTAGGTGGTCAGGCTTTATTATGGCAGTCAAAACACCTACTTGATGATCTCTGAGGCTTTTAATCATGATATCCTGATATCCCCTCGTATTTTTCCTCACGTCACGTTCAATCTGACTGGGTTATTCGTTTAAACCGGATCTTGCAAGGATTCTCAGGATCTGGAGTAGCTTGCCAGGAATCTGCTGCTGGTTTAACCCTTGAGTGATGAATCCAAGAAGTCACCTCTGCCACCTTTACAGCTGTTGGGGTAGATAAAAGAACAACATAAGGACCTCTCCACTTTGGACCCAATGGGACAGTATTCCATTCTTTTATCCATACTTGGTCACCCGGATGGTATGAGTGAACAGGTGGATATATGTTCACAGGTAACCTGTCTTGCACCCATTTCTGTACCTCCTCCATAGTTTTACCCAACTCCACAACCTTCTGCCGAGTAATTCCGTCACCTATATGACATAAGTCCCCCCTTAGATTACTGAGTATGGGAGGTGGACGCCCATACATAATTTCAAAGGGAGACAGACCCGTTCTTCTAGTAGGAGTACTACGTATTCGCAACAGAGCTATTGGCAAAAGGACATTCCACTTGAGCTGAGTTTCTTGACACATTTTAGCCAATTGAGTCTTTATCGTTCTGTTCATCCTTTCTACCTTTCCACCTTTCCAGAACTCTGAGGCCTATAAGCAGTATGGAGTTTCCACTTGATGCCAAGTACATGAGTCAGTTGTTGTAAACATTGATGGACAAAAGCTGGACCATTATCAGATCCTATAGAACACCGAAGTCCATATCTGGGTATAACTTCCCGTAACAGAAACCGTACAACTTCTTCTGCTTTTTCTGTACGAGTAGGACAGGCCTCTACCTAACCAGAGTAGGTACACACCACTACCACCAGGTAACGATACCCTATGGATTTAGGCATCACTGTGTAATCTAGTTGTAAATCTGACATGGGAAGTCCTCCCATATACTAAACTCCAGGTGGTTTGACAGGGCCTTGTCTTGTGTTGTTGCGAGCACACTGAACACATCTTCGGACAATAGCTTGGGAAAGGTTGGATAGTCTTGGAATGTTGAAATGTTTGCTGAGAGATTCTTCCATACTATCTCTTCCTGAATGGGTACCACTATGGAAGTTCTGAACAATCTCTATGGCCAGAGATGCCGAAATCACTATTCCATCTTCTAGCTAATACCAATTATTCTCCAAGTATTTTCCAGATTAAGTTTCCAACCACTTCTTCTTTTAGGTTGTATACACGGGAGTCCATTGAGACAAGGGTGCAGGTACAAGAGCAGTAACATGGGTCACTGATCTTCTTGTCTTGATTCAGCAGCACGTTTTGCAGCATTGTCTGCCATGTGATTTCCTCTCACCACATCACTATCACATCACTATTAGCCTTTCAGATGTGATCTGCAATGTATGATACCGACTTCCTTCGGTTCCCATTCTGCCTCCAATAACTGAATTATCTCTGCTGCATACCTGATTTATTTTCCCTCCGAATTCAAGAGTCCTCTTTCTTTATACAATGCTCCATGGACATGAGTTGTTAAGAAGGCGTATCTTGAATCCGTATAGATGTTCACTCTCAACCCCTCAGCTAGTTGCAAGGCCCTTGTCAGTGCGATTAATTCCGCCTTCTGTGCTGATGTCCCTTCTTTTACAAAGCTACTACCATCCGTATAGTACTGTATATCTGGGTTCTGGATGGGAAAATCATGGAGATCTGGCCTGCTTGAAAATACTTCATCCATTATCTCCAGACAATCATGTTGACTTTTAGCAGTCTGTGGCAGAAGGGTAGCTGGATTGAGGTTATTGACAGTCTCAAGATGTACTCTTGGATTTTCGCATAGCATAGCCTGGTATTTGGTCATTCGGCTATTGCTAAACCAATGATTACCTTTGTAATCCAGTAGGGTCTGTACTGCATGAGGTACTCGCACATAGAGTTCCTGACCCAATGTGAGCTTGTCATCTTCCGCTACCAACAGAGCAGCGGCAGCCACTGCTCGCAGACAAGGTGGAAGACCACTAGCCACCGCATCCAACTGTTTGGACATGTAGGCTACAGGTCTTTGCCATGGTCCTAGATACTGAGTGTACACTCCCACAGCCATTCTTCTTTGCTCATGCACATACAGGTAAAAAGGATGCATGTTATCTGGTAGGCCTAGGGCTGGGGCACTCATAAGTGCTTTCTTGATGTCTTCAAATGCCTTCTGTTGTTTTGTGGTACACAGGAAGGGATCATATTCTGTGCCTTTTACCGCTTCACACAGGGGTTTCACCAATATTGCATAATTAGGAATCCATGTCCTACAGAATTCTGCTGCTCCCAAGAATTCCTGTACTTGCCTTCTATTCTTGGGTACAGGTATCTGACACACTGCTTCTTTTCTTTCAGGTCCCATTGTAATTTGACCTTCAGAGATTTGGAATCCTAAATACTTGACAGTTGGCTGACACAATTGCGCCTTCTTCCTTGACACCTTGTATCCTGCCCTCCAAAGAATATGGAGTAGATCATGGGTTGCTTGTTGGCACATCTCTTTAGTAACTGCCGCTATCAAGAGATCATCTACATACTGAAGCAATACACATTCCCCCTGGGATGGATTTGAAGTCTTGTAAATCTTGACTCAGTGCAGATCCAAATAGGGTAGGTGAATTCTTGAACCCTTGAGGTAACCTGGTCCAAGTCATCTGATGTTTTGATCCCGTGACAGCATCTTTCCATTGAAAAGCAAAGAGACACTGACTTTCAGCAGCAATCCGAAGGCAAAAGAAAGCATCTTTAAGATCGAAAACTGTAAAGTAGGTTGCCCCACCTGGAATTAAGGCAAGCCGATTATAGGGGTTGGGTACCACTGGGTGTGTATTAACTACTGCATCATTAACTGCTCTTAAATCTTGTACAGGATGATACTCATCTGATCCTGGGTTCTAAATAGGTAATAATGGAGTTATCCAAGTACTTCTGTATGTTCTTCTTGGCCTTCTGAGGTATGTGATACTGACGTAGGCTCACAGGGTAGGCCCCAAGCTTTATTTCAATATGTATCTGGGATCTGCAGAGACTGGAATATTGCAAATATATATAAAAAATAAAAAGAAGATATAAGTGGATGTAAAAATTAAATACTGTGCCTTTAAGAAATGTGAGATAGAAGCTGGAGTTATAAAAATAAAAAATACAAATCAGAAATAGAGAATAAAACAGGTAGAAATCAGAGTGAAGGTAGAAAGATGGTAAAATATGCACACAGAAGATGGAAAAAATAATAGTATAAGAATAAGAGAACTATTGAATCGGTTTGGAATGGATGAATGTACAGTGTCAGTGTCTCTATCCCTGTAGGGTGCAGGGTAAATGAAACTTTCACTGAATAATATACTTTGTATCAGCAAAGATAAAAGATAAAAGATAAAAATATGTAATGAAATAGCAACACAGTATACGGAACTGTTTGCTTGAAGCAATAAATGTATCGCTATAGACTGAAGTTAATTGCAGAAACTGGATCAAATATAAAAACTGTTTATTAAACAATAAAAAATTATATATAAAAATCCATAGAATACAGATACGGAACAGTTCATGATGGTATTACCAGTCTTATGAGAATCAAATGATGGTGTGAACCCTCGGATCAACTAAGGATGGATGTAGATTGAGTTGTGCAAACTCGCCTCCTGAAAGCAACTGCCGGTGAGGACTGCGTGCGTCTGTGTGTACGTCCCAACAGGACCTCACTCCAGGGGACGGACAGAACGGACGATTTCGGTATATAGGTTTACCAAGGGTTCTTTGTGTGGAGTGCTCTTCTGCTGGTTAGATGGATCTGTATCCTGCTTTGTTTAGTCTTGTCTTACGCGTTTCGTAGGTGAAGCCCTACTTCTTCAGAGACGGAATGTGGTCTAATGCTTCAGTCTATCTTTATATACAAATACTTTGATTGCTGATGAAAATATCTTAATTGCTAATAAGAATATTTCAATTGTCAATAAAAATCTTTCATAGTGATACAAGTATTCAGTGCATAAATTACAGTTACACTCAAAGTGTTAGATGGTGAAACATACATATTGCTGCATAAATTGATTGTTTAATAATCCAACATTAAAAATGATATAAATACAGATACAGAACCTAAAAGTGAAGAATATATCCTGGACACAAATTAATTCAGTCTAAGAGGTTATATAAAGAAAATAAGTAAATAGATGTTTGACGAATAAATAAATACATTTGTCAAATTTTAATATCTAGACAGTTCACAGTTAATAGTATATATTTGTTTGCATATTACACCTGTTATAATTGGGATGGTAATAGGAAATAGTTATTTTTTTGAGAGAAAAAATACAAATACATGTTTCAGATGTTATTCATAAAGGCATACATAAAACCTTTATATTAAATATGCTGCAGTAGTATTATGACCAAATGGAATTTAAATTGATATTGGGTAGGATATGCATCCATTGGAGTTGTATACATTCTTAAAGTAATATACAAATAAACATACAATTATACATAATTTGATAATTAGTAACACAGCAAGTGAAAAAATTATGAATACTATTAATGTTAATTAAATGATCTTATTAGTGGTCCTTTCTGAAAAAGAACACATACATTAGTATATTCATCAATCAATTATATTTAAAATGACTTTAATCGATGATGGTGTGTTGTCGGACCT